TCATGTTGATTTCTTTTGGACTGAGGCTCGCAAAGCTGTGGTGCTGTAACTGAAGGCTTGTTCGGGCCTTGTGCTGTCAATGCTTGAGCTGCAGAGTTTTTGTCTGCAAACCTAGGTTTGAACCTGGCGCTTAGGGCTTGAAGGGGTTGTTGCATTTTCACGTGCAACGCTGGGGGTTCAGGCATGTGACAAAAACATGCCACGTAGATCTAACCAGGGTGCAAGGGACAACCTTTGCATTGAGCCATGTGAGCTGGTGAAAAAAGTAGCTGCAGTGTTTCCACCCAAATATGTCCACTGTGCAGTACATCTTCTACCTGGTGTTCCAGGTATCTGAAAGTGGCCAGTGGCAGCGTTGTGATATGCGATCGTGCCCGCTCGTGTCTTGCTTCTTTCAATTGCTAGGAGTTAGTCTACAAGTGCAAGTCTGTCTTCACACCTGCTCTTTTGGATCATCTGCAGCCATTTTTCATGATAGGTGTCCAGAGAGATGGAAAAAATGAGCCATATAGTCCGGAGGCAGAGCAGGGGCCGCAGGAAGAGGCAGGACTGGCATGAACGACATTGCACTCATGTCTGGATTGAAGTGTGTGCTGGCATATGCAAGGTATGGGGGCAGTTGCAATACCCAGCTGATGGAAGACCGGTTTTTGACGTTCCAGCAGTCTGGGCCTTTAAACTCGAGTGAAACTAAACAATGCAAGCATGGTGCCTCTTGGCCTAGGAGTCAGGTGGTGCATGGCAAGTCCTGTTCAAGGCTCTTGGGGTGCCTTGCTGAAGATGTACTCTTTGTTAGCATATGTGTGTGTGTGCATGTGGACTATATACATGCTAAGGTGCCAGAGGAGACTATTTCCATCATAGAAGAGGTCACTAGCTCTGTTGTTTGCAGTTTGGCTCCTTTGTTTCTTTATACTTTACATGTCTGTTTGGGTGCTCAGGATGAACAACTAGAGAACGCTATGTCGGAGCTGGTGGCATTGATTCCAGCCCAGGTAATGGACATGCATGCATGTCATGCCATGCACTCCATGACATTCCATGGCCCCCATGAAGTTCAAACATGTCATGCCTGCGCACTTCATGCCATGCAATGCCATGCCATCCACTCCATGCATGTTGCATTGCAATCCATGCTGACCATACATGCATGCATGCATGCATGCATGCATGCCTGGAGGACCGGGCTTCATCTTCCAGGAGGACATTCGCAGTTCCTAGTAAATGTAGGCCCTGGTTCCAACCAAAGTCATGAATGCATACCATACATGTCAAGCTTGGGGTCTGTGCGCATAGAAACTATGGTTGCATTGTGGACAGGCCGGATTCTTCAGCTCCAGCTAGCAAGCCCTGCAGCTCTGATGCCAGCAGTGCCACACCTACCAAAGTGGAGCCACTATGGAAGCCAACACCGAAAAGCAAAGTGCTGTTGAAAAGAAAACCGCCTGAACCACCACCGGCAAGCTCCTACAAGAAGCCAACCTGGAAGCACAACCCACCACCTCCTCCAGCTAGCCGCAGCTTTTGGATCCCCAATCCGCCACCACCTCCGATTCATCTTCAAGGTTCGGCTTGATGTGGCAGCCCATATGATTTTGCTTCTTGGATGTACAGGTGCTGGGAACCCTTTGTGGCACCAGTGACAGCCATGACTGGGCTGCTCATGTTGGAGCCTAAGCGGTGATGGCTTTGCAAGGTTCAAGCTATGCGTTCCTTTTGTTTTCCATGGATGCCTGGATGTCCAGGCCAAAACCTGCTGACTCTGTGTGATGGAAAAGAATGCTCTTTTGTGTTGCTGATACCCAGTTCACCCATGTAGTGTAAGTACATGCAAAGCTCTGCGCCCAAACCTCCTGGTTGCTGGGTTTGCCAGGTACAATCCTATTGGCCAGTGGCTGTATGTGGGCTGTTCTGGCTGAGCAAGAAGGACTGTCTATGACTGGACTGAGTGCTGCAAGTGCGTGAACATGCATGAATTTCACAGAAATATGTCCATCCATTCCATGTGCCGCTCAAGCGTTTGGCCATGGGTGTGTGACTTGAGCCATGTTTTGTGAACGGGGATCCATTCTCCATGCTTTACTCCATTGTGGAGCTCCCAAGGAGGGGGTTTGATTTGCTTGAATGAGCATGCCCATGCATGTGTGCATTCATGGACCAAGTCTTGACTCATATTCTAGAAGGTCTTGGTGGCAGTGGTGCTGTTCTCAGGTGAAGGAGCATTTTTGCAGGTGTCACTCCAGTGGGGACTTGTCATTGGAGCTGCGGCTGAGGTCCTCATGATGACTTGGAACGACAGGTTCGACTTCGACCAGCCACAGTTCCACTTCTTTGAGGTGTTTGCTGGATGTGAAGCGGCCTCTCGTGAATGGTGCCAGACTTATTTCCCTTACCTCCCTAACTTCTGGCCCTCAAAACTCCTGAGGAAACGACGAGGCTTCAATGTGGCCCAGTTTGAGAGGGACCATGCAAATGACAGGGGCATGGATTTCCTGGAGACACCAGGGTTTCTGTCTGGGACTTATTGAACATAGTGAGCCACTGTGCATTTTCATGTGGTTGGCCTGTCAGGGTGGCACTATTTGGGTGCCTGATGATGGCCCCGCAGGGAATCACTTTGTTTGCCCCCCTGCTGCAAGACATGGGGGATACCATCCCGGGGATCAACAATGAGAAGTTGGCTGAATCCACTTGGATTGCCCTTGCCATGTGTGGCCCGTGGAAACATGACTGTATGCAGGCTTGTTTGCGGTTCATGAGCTCATATAGTGGGTGTGATGTTTTTTTTGTGACTGTTCGGAGGCTGGTGCTGTGCTGCATCTGCCTTCTGTCGCAACATGCTCTATTTGTCATCGAGCAGCCTCGTCAATCCTTGCTTTTCGAGCACTATAGATGGCAGCATTTTCAGAATTGTGTGTGCCGTGTATCTCAGTCAATATTGGAGGCAGGTAAGACGCAAGAGGCTATATAGCAACATGATATGTTTCTCTAGCAATGTATAGGTATGGATGTCATCCTGGTGGATGATGCTTTATGGATGCCCCAGTCCGAAGCGGCTAATGGCTAGAGCCAACTGGAATGGGATCAGTGGACGGGACATTGGCAAACTGTCTCTGAAGCAAAGGAGGGAGAGCACAACGATTGTGACGACCAGACTGGACCTTATTTATGTGGAGAATGCATGTGTGGGAAATGAGCCTTTGCCTTTTTGGGGTCTGGTGACCAAGGACGTTCAGGGAAGAAATGGTCTGGGACAAAGGACTTGGTACAAACACAGCCATGATCTTAGATAGTTTTTGTGAAATGATACCTGGCCTTTTCTTTATTTTGAGGTGCTATCCTCCTGCCTTTGGCAAACAACTTTTGAAGCTTTGGCTTGAACGAGATGATGAGCCACACGCTTGCTTGAGGCCATGGTCTTTGTAGATCAATGTGCATGACCTTTGGGAGTTCTATGGAACTGCTAGTGCGCAGGACCAAAGGGAAGCTTCCAAAATCTGCTAGTGATCGTGAGCTATTTGATCAGCTGATCATGAAGAATCCCTGGTATGATGCCTCCATGATCGAGGTATTCATTTTCCTCTATGAGGATCCCAGAACACAGATTCCAAACACATGGGTGGAAAGCATGGCCAGCTTCCGCAAAGAACTTTTGGAGACTGTGCCCGACCCTAGATTGGTGGCAGAGTATAGTGAGCTAGTTCAGAGAGCCTATTAGCAGGCCTGATTCGGTGATGATTCGGGCATACTAGCAAGGCATAATTCGATGATCATTCGGTACTTCTGAGTGCCGAATCGGTACTTTGGGGACCAGGCCTTTGCGCAAAACGAGCGCAAAAAAGTGCTAAACGGGCGCAAAAATGCGCAAACGGGCGCAAAAAAAAATGTGTACCACTTTGATCCTATACTACTATACATCCAAGGTCCACCATTTCGTCCGAATAGATATGTTTTCAACTCATCGAATTCGATGATTTTTGCGCCCGATATCATGTATCGCATGCTATAGGGTTGGATGTCATGCATGAAAGCTTTGCTCAAGGCACTTTGGTGTACATAGGCTATGAAACGCGCTGACAGCCTAGACCACGGTCTGTCCTTGCTCCGCCTTGGCACCAGTGAGAGCATGGGGACACAACTAGATGAGGAAATCCAGGTTGGCCAGTTGCACTGTTCTTTTGCTTGATCCTTTAGCTGTCCTGTGACTGGTGAGGCCAGACTTCAAAGGATCAATGCGCTTCAGGCGCAAATTACAACTCAGGTCGGTCGGACCGTCCGAGTCAGGCACGCAAAAAGCGAAATGGGCCCGACGGGGTGCGATCCATGGAGGTTTGGGGTGCGAACATCCACTCACTGGATGGGACTAAACACCACCCCGTCTTGTGACTCCTGGTTGATGGATCTATCCCATGCTTCCAATTCTTCTCTTCAAGAACCACGATTTTTCGTCAAAAGGACCGGCAGGTAGACACCGACACATGTGGAACTGGCTTAAGGCCTGGCCCAGGCCCATGCTCAGTTGGTATACCTCTGCAAGTGAAGCACCAAACAACTCCTAAAACGAGACCTCTGGCAAGAGCGGCGGCCGCTGAAAACACCCTTTTGCTGCATCGTCACTCGGCTGTGCGAGCGTCGGGTGAACATATTTATGTTTGGTGCCCCCGGTGGGCCTCATACTTATCGAAGACCAAGCAGGCATTGGTGCCACCAAAGCCGAAGGAGTTGGAGGCCACTCCTTAAAGGCAGGCATATGGCTATACGTAGTACAAATAGAAAAAGCGCTGACTATTTTTGGGAACCAAGCGAGCGCTTTGCATCTGCAACATGTCGATGGTCCCTACATCTCTCTTCCCTATCTTAGTCTTACCTAAGCAGGAACTCGAACTAGTGGTACGTATAGGCTATAGGTGGCTGTAGGCTATAGGAGAAAAATAGCTGTTGAACCTCTCTATACAGTAGGTACAGGTACATCATGCCTCACCCTCGCAGATCTCACCTCCTCACCTCACCCCAGCTCCGCCCATGCTCCGCCCTGCTCCGCGCTCGCCGCCCGTGGCGCACGAAGCCAGGTCACGGGCCACTTCTCCGTCGTGGCGCTCGGTCAAGATCTTCATCCCCTCGGCTTCGTCCACCTGCGGACGATGGGGCGCGGGGCGTGTTGTGCCGGGGGAGATGATTGGAGGGTGTGAGACGCCCGGCTTTGGGTTCGAAGAGAACAGGTCAAGATCAACTTGAAGAATTTGACATGTTTTTTTCTACATCATATACTGATCTACTCTGAGTAACTTGAATAATTTGACATTATTTTTGACATATACTGATCTACACTGAGTGGGTAGAAAATACGTAGAAGTGTGAGACTGCTACCGTACAGCAACTGTTGGCCAATCGCGTCGATCTTGAGTTCTCTCAAATCACCTCCAAGCACTCTTCAAACCATGGAACCATAGACCACCCACAAACCAACCACTCTCATCTCCCCACATCTAGACCGACCAAGCTCGGCACCAGATTCTCGATGTTGATGGACTCAGCCAGGAAGCCCCGGTCCATCATCAGCAGCGAGTAGATGGCCTGATGCACGTCATCATGATGCGGCGGAGAGTCGCTTCTTCGACCTGTCGCCCCTGGGGACGTCCCAAACGCCCGTCCCGGACCTCGATCGGCTCCGATCTCGGTCTTCGGCTGGTGCTCTTGGGGTCGATGGATTCCACAACCGACGGTCTTTCCCGTTCGGGTGGAGGGCGTGCGTCGGATCAAGGCATAACACAGCCGAACACAGCTGCCAAGCATCAAGCACCGCTTCAGCAAGGACGCCGAAGTGGAAGATGAACCAAATCCCACCAATCAATACCAATCACATCAATTCATCAAATCAAAACGCCATCCACCAACACTGTCCCTTGCCGTCACATGCACAATCGTTGACGTGGCCTCTTGACATTGCGCCAACCAAGAAATTGGTAGCCAAACCACCTTGGAGTAGCCTATAAGATATCGACCACCACCATCCAACCACCACTGCCAACCACACAAAACCCACTGAGCAAAATGAACCGCCCACCTTAAAGGACCGACGTTCAACTACACCAACCACCCGGTCACCCACCAAAACCCAAACCAAGCCAAGCCAAGCCAAACCATCCCGCCCTCCCTCTCTCCATTTCTTGCAATCCATCCACCTTGGAGGTCACCTTCACCTTCCCTCGGACCGCTCGCCTCGTGGACCCCAGCGGCTCCCAAGGCATGGCCCGACCTGGCGTTAGTCAATGCTCCAGAACTCCATGGAACCAAAAATCATGGCACTGGATGACTGCACTGAGATGTACTCAATGGCACAAAATAGCGCTGGATGCACTGAATGGTCATGTAGCTCTCAGTGAGTGAAGTTGTTGTTCCATTGAAAACTGCTGGGGAGGGCTTGACAGAACATGATAGAAGGTAGGTGTTTTCTTTCCACGAGCCTGGGCTTTGGGATGAGTTGCTTTGCAAGACACAAAATCTCTTGTGGCTAGGTCTCTGCTTTCTGCAGAACTCTTCCATATACCCAGTCGCTGTTGCCACTCACGACCCACTGATCCTGTCATATATATATATATAAACATGTGTTGTATTACATATTTCGATTACATGTATGCATGCAGCTGCATATGTATTTGCTATTCTGCATTCTAGTATGCGTGTATATATATAGATATGTCGGTGGAAAAGCTGCGTTCTACTTGGCCAGGACACATAGACTTGGTGGACCCCACGTAGGGCTGGTAGCCTCTCTCCTGTCGCTCAGCAGGGCGGCACGCCAACGGCGGCCCGGTGGGCTGTCTTCTCCAGATAGAAGACGAATCGGAACAGGAAAATATGTATACACTATATGCAATAATAATACACCCAAACACTCCAGGTGTATGATTAAAAAACATAACACATATATATAAGATATATATAATATACTACTATATCTTTGTGTCATAGTGATACAATTGCATATGATTACATATTACAATAAAAATATATATACTATTTTGCCTGTACATTTGACCATCATTGACCGCTTGTCATCCCTTTTCAACATCTTAATCGAAATTCCCTACTCCACCGGCGTGATTCACCCCCGCTCCCCGGAGCCTGGGTGTTTGGTCTGGACCTCCCCCGCCCCAAACAGGAACGGCTTCGAAGCCGAAGGCCGGGTCTTCATGAGACCGGGCGGCGCTCGGTTGAGGGCGTCAGAGCGCCATGGCGTTCGGAGTGCTCCGAACGACATCGTGATGAAACTGAGGTCGACACGGGTTGTTTTCGACCCCGAAGCAACGGCTACCAGGACGCTTTCGGGTCCCAAAACCCAACGCTGCGAGAGGTGGATCATCGGTCATCGCGGCCGAATGGGAAGACACACGGCCTTGAGACTCTGAGCCATTCCGAAGAAGTGTGTTCACCGCTGGCTTTGTATCATATACAATTAAGAGGACCCCACATGTCTTATTCTTCACCGCTGGTCTTCCCCACTGATTCTGCACTCTTCGGCCGTCTCCTCGAAGACTCGCTTCACGGCGCCCAACTCTTGGACGTCGCCGATGGGCGTGGAGGTGCCGTGGGTGTTCACGTACGTGACCTGGAGAAGGTGGGCTCGCAAAGGGTGGGGTGGCGCGCCATTTGGGTGGGTCTTGGGGGTCTCGGTTCGTGCCACAATTGAGATCTGAAAAGGGTGTGATGGCCAAGAAGGCAGACAGAGAGAGAGATTGGAGGGGGAACACACCAAAGATCCTGGTCCTATCGGTTTGGGATGGATTTGTCCATTGAGTTCCTGTTTATAGTCCATTGAGTCCTATTAGTTCCTATTTATAGTTCCTATCATTATAACCCAATGCCAATCGGTCCATTTTAGTCCATTAGTTCTTCTTCTTTGGAGGATTGGGTTAAACCTCGTTCAAGGACACCAAAACCGCCTCCGATCCTCTCCATCCCTGCCTCCTTCTCCCCTCCGATCTGGTCTGCCATGGCCAATGCCAGCTTCATGCCTTGGTCGGTACCGAGTCAGGTCGGTTGGTCGGACCGTCCGAGTCAGGCGTGGTACCCAAAAAGCGAAATGGGCCCCTGTGACACCATACATTCCAGCAGTCACAAGACGGGGTGCGATCCATGGAGGTTTGGGGTCCCATGCTTCCAACCATTCTTCTCTTCAAGAACAACGATTTTTCGTCAAAAGGACCGGCAGGTTACCTGGCTTAAGGCCTGGCCCAGGCCCATGCTCAGTTGGTATACCTCTGCAGGTGAAGCACCAAACAACTCCTAAAACGAGACCTCTGGCAAGAGCGGCGGCCGCTGAAAACACCCTTTTGCTGCATCGTCACTCGGCTGTGCAGGTGAGCAACCTGGTCACTGGAGCGGCAAGGCCGCGAAGCTGAGGATCAAATCACCGTGGTGGACCCCATGTTGGTTGATTGATCACATCATCACAAACAAATTGTTTTGAAATACATGTAACACCATCTTTAAGCATATGAAAACCATGCAAAAACCCACAAGATGGTCGGTGCACCCGGGAACTCAAACGATTCTTCCACATCTGAGTCTGTCACATCGCTGCCATCGTTCGATGCGTCGCTGCGTTCGTTCGATGCATGGCCGTCTCAGGCGGTCTCGGTCAGAGCTCTTCCAAGATCTGGGAGCGTTCCTGGCGCATTCCAAAGGTCTGGAGAATAAGAATGGAACTGCTGGACCCCGGTGCGCATGGTGGGGCATAGTGTTGAAATTTTAAGCCAGTCCAGGTCCAGGATATACCATCTCTGAACAGCAACAAAGAGCACTCTTGCAGGAAGTAGAAGGCAAGTGCTTATGTGGGGTGGGATATTTTTTAGGAAGGATTTGTTCATCTGCTACGAGCAGTTTTGTCCACATCAACGTGTTGGACATCACACGGTATTTCTCTTGCGCAGGAAGCTCATGGGAAAACACCAACACGTCTGGGCCGCCAAAAGGGGGAACAGGTTGATGCTTAATCTCCATAAGACTTAAAAGGTGAGAGGTCAGTTTCCCTCTCTGAAACTTCTGTAGGGAGATGGTGATGTTCATTGAGTTGTGTGTCTTTCCACATGTATAATCTAATTTGGGGCGCTCGCTCTCCCTCATTTTGCAGGGTTCTGTATGTGTTCAGCCAGCAAAGCGAGCTTCTTGAAGGCACCCAAATGCACCATGTTCATGTCAGTCAAGCTTCCTGGAGGAATTCCCGTGCTTTCTGCTCGTCTCCAGCTTCCAAGGCCATCTCTGCCTGTTTTCGGATGGATTGGCGTGGTTTTCTCGTCCTTTTTTGTCGCGTGGATTCTGGTGGGTCGAGGTGTTCTCTTCTTGAAAGGACCTGGAAAACCCTGCCATCGAGAGATGTTCCGACTGGGTTTCCTCGCCATGTCAAGCATGGTTTTCTTTGGAATGTATCCCTATGCCTCCAGTCGTACCGAGCTCGTTTCGGTTTGGTGGGACTGGGGTGGGTGCCAGGAGGGTCCAGTCATACCGAACCTGAGGGAACGCCACGCGCGCTTCGGGGTTCCTTCTAGGTCGGTCTATGAATGGGTTGGGTTCAGAAACAGGGCGCCACCCCCCTGTTTGAGCCCGCCCAACACGTGGACAGTGGACAGTGGCCCCTTTCGAGAACTACTTTCCTTTGCAAAGAAACGCAGACCAGGCACCACACCATGTTTCCGTTTGAGAGCAGTGCCATCCAACACCTGTTGGTCGATCAAACCCATAGCCAAGCCTTCAGTTTCTGGCTTTTTAGGCCACACCAAACACGGTACGGAACGACTGGTTTGAGGAGGGCTCCAATCCATTTTCAGGTTCAATGTTCATCTTCCCGGGTGTGCCCATCATCTCCAGAACTGGAACCCAAAATGAGTGCTGGCATGTTCTCTGCTGTTCTGTTTTGTCACTTCTAGATTCTAAAGTTGGTGGTTTCCATACTAGCAAGTGGTGAATGGGGACTGACCCTTTTCCTTGGCTCCCGCTGATCACTCCTGATTGCACCATCCCGAGTTTGCAGTTCTTCTCCGACCTTGTGGTAGATTTCCTCTGCTTTCTTCTTCCGCTGCTCTGCCCTTCTCTCTTGTCCCTCAGTCATGTCCTCACCAGCAACTGACCCGGTCTCCACAAGTAAAAACACGTGGCGAAGCGTCTTCTCCGCTATTCCCAACAAAGGTCATTTTTCAGAACCCGACTGTTCGACTATCCCAGTTCGGTACCCAGTCGGACGCGTGGTACGAGCCACTTCCGCTTCGCCTATTTCGGTATACCTCGGTCACCCAGGGGACCGAACGGGGATAGTCTATATATATATATATATTATATATATATATACATAAGTATATACATATACATATGGGGGTTGTTCAAAAGTCCTTTCATTTTTTCCAGGCCTTTCGCAGGACCTTCGCGAAGCTTTCGCAAGCTTTCGCGCGTGGGGTTTTACCACTGTCGGCGAAAATGGTTTTTCGTTGGGGCTAGAGGCTTTCAAGGATAGTTGCCCTGGCACGTCTTGTCCTCTGATCACTGACACATTGATTGCAGAGGAACAGGAAGCCAGCGAACCAAGACATTTTCATGTTGGTGTGTTTTTGGTTGGGCGCAACCCTCCATGAACAAGAGAAGGCTCAGTCAGGCCAGTTTGCTCAGACTTCCAATTTGCTTTTTCCCGGGCCGGGAAAAAGCAAAATGGTTCAGACTTCGAATTTGCTTTTTCCCGGGCCGGGAAAAAAAGCAAAATGGTTCAGACTTCCAATTTGCTTTTTCCCCGCCCGGGAAAAAGCAAAATGGTTCAGACTTCGAATTTGCTTTTAGCCAACCCGGGAAAAAGCAAAATGGTTCAGACTTCCAATTTGCTTTTTCCCGGGCCGGGAAAAGACAAAATGGTTCAGACTTCCAATTTGCTTTTTCCCGGCCCGGGAAAAAGCAAAATGGCCAGACTTCCAATTTGCTTTTTCCCGGCCCGGGAAAAAGCAAAATGATTCAGACTTCCAATTTGCTTTTTCCCAGCCCGGGAAAAAGCAAAATTGCTCAGACTTCCATTTTGCTTTTTCCCGGGCCAGGAAAAAGCAAAATGGTTCAGACTTCCA